GCTGCCTACGGCGACTCATTGCCGCCCCCTGCCTTTTAAGATACGCCTATGTGGCCAAACGTTTGGGCAAAGTTTGGCCAAGATATTGGACCATATGTTCCCCCAGCCATTGTGGAAGCCCTTCGGGGAACAAGTGGGGGAGCAATTGGAGAAGGAATGAAAAGCAGGATGAGGAGAAGGATCGCCTCTTGGAAGCTTCTTGGGTCATTCTTGGGGCATCCTGGAAGCTTCCTGGGGGCCTCTTGGAGGCCACTTGGGGGCCTCCTTGGGCCTCTTGTGGGCCTTTGGGGGCTTCTTGAGGGCTTCTTTGGCCGTCTTACGGCGTTCCCGACCCGTCGGAAGCGGTCTTGGGAGCCTATTTGGGCCGTCTTGATGCCCTCTTGGAGCGCTTCAGGATCATCTTGAAGGCCACCTTGGGCACCTTGGAGGCATCTTGCCTCTTGTGCAGTCTTGGGGCCCTTTGGGCCAAGGGGGCCGTCTTGGGGAGCCTCTTAGGCCGTCCTGGGGCCATCTGGGAGGCCTCTTGGTCAATCTTGGGGGGCTCTTGGGCCGTTGGAAATCAGTTTTGAAGCCAATACACAACCTGTATTGTTGGCCTCTTCGGGCCTTCCTGGATGACTTCTTGGAGGTCTCTTGGGCCATTTTTGGAGCCTTTTGGGCGCTTCTTGGGCCGTCTTGGTCTCTCTGGGACCATCTTGGCGGTCTTGGAGGCATCTTTGTATTGTCTTGAAAGCCATCTTGGGGCTACCTTCGGTCCTCCTGGGGCCATCTTGCCCGTGTTCGAGGCATGGTGGAGGCCATCTTGGCCGTCTTGGAGGCGATATGGGCAACAGTTCTTTTATTCACCAGGCGTTCCGGGTGGTTGGCGGGTTGGGTCGACACGCCATTGGGAGTTCTTTGGAAAAAAAACAAAAACCTCCAGACGTTACACGCCGTGCACCCCTGTGGCAAACCACAGAGGGCGGCGGATTCAATTGCCTTCGTTCCATCCCGCCACCGGGCCTGGATTGTGGGTCGTAGGCCTTGAGGATGTTCGTTGGGATGTCGCGAGAGGCCTCTCGGGGGCCTCTTGCGGGCAGTTTTGAATCTTCTTGAGGGCCTTGGGGCGTCTTGGGGGCCTCTTGGGGGTCTCTTGGGATTCTTGGGGGCCTTTTGGGATCTCCTGGGAGCCTCTTGGGGCGGAAGATTTGAAATTTCGGTCCATGTTCCCTTTGTTGCCCTTCTTGGGGCTGTCTTTGGGCCACCTTGGGCAGTCGTGGACGCCTCTGGGGCCGTCTTGGAGCGCTCTTTGGCCCGTGTTGGGGCCCTCTGGGGGCCTCTTGGGTCGTCTTGGCGCGGTTTCGGGGGCCTCTTGGGCCGTCTTGGAGCGTCAGAAGCTCGGAACGTCGAGGACCCCAAAAATCATTCTGAAAAATTGAAAACCAATCAATGATTCTAGGCTCTTGGGGCTTGCTCGGGCCGCCTCGAGGGCTTTTTGGGCCGTCTTGGGGCCATGTTGAGCATTTATGACCGAACATGCGGCGATTCGGGGCCCTCTTGGAACATCTGGGCGGCCTAATGGAGCCCTCTTGGCCCGTCTTGGGGCCCTCTTGGGCCCGAAAAAGCAATGCGACAAGCCGCAACAGGCCCCACAGGGAAGGCGGGGAGCATTGGAAGATTAACAATTTTGGGTCCAGGCCCGGTAAAGAATCCTCCAGATTGAGAGCTGAGGTTGAAGGGATAAAGCCAAGGACCTGAGGACACTCCAAGTCGTGCCTCAAGGGCACGGTGGCGGATAAGACACGCATGAACGAGTAAGTTGAAACGCGCATTGGTCATGTGCAAGGTTGGTGGGTTGCTTGAGCCGTTTGATTGCCTTGTTGGGGAGTTGTGATCCATGAGCATAGCCTCTCTCTGCGAGGAGAGCATCGCTTGGTGAATCTACGCTTTGAACTGGCATCGCCGAGTCTGAGGAGCAATTCTTGATTTCCACTTGTCGAACGTCCAGGTGCGCACAAGCACTGCACACCGCATGGAGACGCGAATCTGATCGATTCAAGCGTCAATCAACTATGAATGTGATGCTCTGAGTGACTTGTTGGTAGTACGGGCTACGCGAGGCGATTCTGCTGAATAGCCGAAATACGTCGGGGGCTGCTGGTGGTCGAAAATCAAATCCTAGCGGCTGGGGGCGCATTCGAACGCGGAGGCTTTTTTTTTAGTCACGTAGGAGTGGGCAGGGCAGGAAAGTGGAAGGGGAGGGAGGGGACGAGAGTTCTTGGTAGATATGCAAGAGCCGCACTGACAGTCCACAATCCAACATTGCATGAGCTGACCGCCAGGCACTGATAACTCCCGCGGTAATAGCTGACAGCAGAGCAGCTGATGGTGTGGCTTAAGGGCTGGCAGACAGAACGGTCGAAGTGGGGTTACGCGTAGGTGTTCTCCGATGCTCGAGAGCGATCCAAAGGACGCGCAGACAAGACGAAGAAGCCAGCAGAGCGAACGAGTCGCAAGTGTCCAGGAGGTTCTCCGAATTGACATAGATGGTGGAAAGGTTTTTCCGAGATTGGGGACATCGCATTGTGTCTGTTGATGCAGCGGGCGGCCAGGTCATTGCAGTGGCACTTCAGCACGGGTATCAACTCGTATTCGTGTTGGGCTGAGTCGGCCTGGATCGGATACTATATATATTGTGTGTAAGAGTACGGCGAGAAGCAGTGGGCGTCATTGATCGACCACCTGAGACGGGAAGCGTTTGCCATCGGTCCCACGTGGTCACATCGCGAATGGCTCTCGTCCCCCACAAACTCGAGAACCCACATCGATCACAAACGACATCTCTGAGAAAATTACCACCAGAGCCCTCGACCCCCGTCTCTCTGGAGCAGCGGCTCTCGAGCCACCTCGGCCCGGCAGGATCACCGGGCCCGAAGCCGGGGCGACAACGCCTGCCGCTCTTCCCCCGCCTCCGTCAGCGTCCGGGGCAGAGCGAGCAGGATGGCCTGGCTGCTCCCTCGCCCCGCTCTCCTCTGCCCGCCCTCGCGGCCGACCTCGACGGCCAGCCCCTTGAGGCACCCTCTCCTCCTCCTCCTCCTCCTCCTCCTCCTCCTCCTCCTCCTCCTTCTCATCCTCCTCCTCCTCCATCCTTTTGGTACGCCGCTCCAGCACGAGGGAGAGGGAGTTCCCTGAGGGAGGCGGGCCATGGACACCTTGGGGGCTGCCCCAGAAAAAGCAGGAATTCCTCAAGCCAAGGAAGACAATCTACCGGGTTGGGAGGATGGGGCTGGGAGAGATGAGGCTAGCATTAAGTCGGGCCTGTCCCCCTACAGGGGGATTTTCGACGACAAATTGAAAATACCCCAAACATATTCCAAAAAGGTCAGAAAATACTCAAAAAATAGTCCCCGGACTATTTTTGGATTACTTTTTGATTATTTTGGGTGTGTTTTTTTATTTTTCGTCGAAAATTCCCCTGTAGGGGGACAGACCCGACTTAAGGCTAGCAGTACCCGCAGGCGGCCGAAGCTATCGTTCATTGCATCTGGATGCTAGTGCTCACACCCCTCATCCTCCCAACACGGTGATTGTTCTCCTCACGAGCGAGCGAGCGAGCGAGCGAGCCTTGCACCAGACGGCGCACGAGCAGGGAGAGGGAGAAGGTTGTCGCAGGATGCCTTCGGCAGCCGCCGTCCAAGCCGCCACAGCCAGCTCCCTGTCGCGCACGGACCCCACCAGGGCGTGGAAAGGGCCCCAGAGGGCCGAGAGCGACGACACGAGTCGGGACCGTGTCTGTACCTCGGGGCTCTTTGGTTCCTCCGTGGCGGCCCTGCAGCACTGACCTCCGGACCTCTCCTGGCCCGGACTCTTCGAGGGCAGCTCCGGCCGCGGCGACGAGAGGCCGCCTGGAGGCCCACAGCAGTGCCCGAGCCAAACGGTGTTTGGGCGACTTCGTGGACCGCTTTGTTCTTGACTCCGTTGTGCGGCACGGGTGGTACGTGGACAGAACGAGGGATAGCGAAAACAACACGAAAACGGAAAACATTGTTTAGCTCGAGCCCTGGCACACAGTGGACGGAAACGCCGAAACAACCCCAGGCATCCACCGAACAGGTTTTTGCGCAATCCGCGGCCCCAGAGATCGCGACCCCTTCCCGGGGGGGGTATTTTTCGCTCGGGCCCTGGGGCCCGAAAATGGCTCCAGAGGAGCAGAGTCGAGGAAAGACACCGGGGTTGTAAAAAGACACCGCGCAAAGTCGAGGAACGTTGGCTCAGCATGTCGCTCCGCCAGTTTTGGCCCGCCACGCTTCACGCCATCCATCTCCTGGCCCCCCAGCGTCAGCTTCCCGAGCCTCTCCCAGCCTCCCGCCCCGCGGAGGGGAGCGACACGCGACCCGCCCGCAGGGCATACAGTCGCGGCCCTGAAGAAGGAACCCTTTTCGTTGGGGAGGGGCTCCGCGTTCCTTATGTGTTTCGCAGCTTGCCTCGATCGGAAATCGAAGGTGAACCGATGGAAAAAAGGGGCCTCGTTCCTTATTTAAGGTTCCTTAGGTCAACGCCCCGACTGTAGCGTGTCGCGGGGGTCGCCGCCGCGACACGCGAGGCAATAGCTCTCGACCGCATCGCCGAAGGCCTGGGGCGGAACGAGCCGCGGCCCCTCCGCGGGTGGCGCCCGCACGGCGGGGGGCGGCCGCACCCGCCCAGGGCGGCGCGAGCCTGGCCCCGCAGACCGTCGCCACGTCCTGGCCCGATCGCGGCGCGAAGCCCCTCCTCCTCCTCCTCCTCCTCCTCCTCCTCCTCCTCCTCCTCCCTCCTCCTCCTCCTTCTCCTCCTTCTCCTCCTCCTCCTCCTTTCTCCTCCTTCCTCCTCCATCCTCCTTCCTCCTCTCCTCCCTCTTCCTCCTTCTTCTTCTTCTTCCCGCAGCCCTTGGGGACCAATGTCTGAGGTGTCCACACATGCATACGTCAGCGGTGAGATAGGCGGCAAGTATAGCGGAGGACGAGGAGAGCAGCAATGGCCAGCATCAACCCGACTCGCAATACAAATCGAGCGGGGCATATAGATGGGCAACTGACGCCTCCAGCCATGCATCCCCAGGAGGCGTGGGGGCACAGCGTTGTGAGGCTGCCTGCGTGATAACAGCAGCTGCGTAGAATTCCACCTGGCTGCTGTCAGGAGGGGCCAGGATCGGCATGGCATTCATGCACAGGCACTGACGGTCCCCCATGGGCACACATCTCGACGTGGCGGTCGGAGGCGTAGCTTGCAGGGAGCACAGGAACCTGACCTCGGGGACCTTCCATATGCAGGGCAGGTTGGCTTGCGGAGCAGGTGGGTTTAAAATGAGCAAAGCCGCCAGGCCCGAGGACGCCGCACACAGCGCCAGTGTCAGTGCCGCCCTCAAGCACGCACTGTCGAGCTCCAGCTGCTTCCACTCCGAGGGCGACCTGGCGGAAATTCCCCATGGCTCATCGCAGCTCCTTAAAGGCCTGCACTCACCACCCTTGACTTTGCAGCGGGGGGCGGGGCCCCACGAGGAAAGGAGGAAATCCGCCACGAGACCAATAACACGCCCAGCCAGAATAAACTCAGTAATGAGCAATAGCTCCTTCTGAAATCCCTCAATGGAGTTCTGGAAAAAGCTCGAGAATATTAAGAGACAAAACAAAAACATTCATGCCCGCTATGGCACTGGACTTCTCCGCTCTATCCTGGATGTCACCTTGACTCCTGGGAGCTGCACGGAGGATCACAATGCATTTAGTACCAGGGGCCTCAGGCATGTGGACCTCTGCCTGCGTGGGCATCTCTTCCTGGATGCACACTGGTTGGCAAGAAATTCTCGGCATGCAAGTGGGAAGGCCCTTGGAGGCAGCCGCTCCCCTCAGCCTAGGTGCCGTCGTGAGGACAGGCGGGAGCTGCGCAGACTCCGCGTAGTGGCCTTTCCCTCGGAGCGTGCGTGCTAGCTCCGCGTCCTCCGCCTTAGCAGCCATCACCTGTTCGGGGCTCAGCGGTGCGATGACGGCCATAAGGTCCGCCAAGCACTTCGATGAGCCATGCCGAACGTGTTTGAGCAATCTTAGATGCGTGTGGAAGTTGAGACCGCATGCCATGCACACAGTGCCTGAAACGTAGCTGGGGGCGGGGTCAAGATGGGGGTGGCACTTCGAGCGATGGGAGGCCCATGCGCCCTTGGTGGCCAACACCGCCCCACAGTCCAAGCAAGGATACAAGGCGAGAACCGACGGCGGACGCAAAAACGACGGGAGCGCAAGACCCTTGGCGATGCAACACTTTCGCTACCCGTCCTTGAATTCTTCGCGACGCTGATCGTCCAAAAATTTGGCCCTGGCAGCCGATTCAGCTTGCTTGCATATTCGCTTCCAAAACTTGTTGCTGCTAGACCTCAGGAGCCACAACCACCAAGCAGGGGGCCCTGACGGTAAGAATTCCTTGGCCAGATTCACATGTCTGCTGAGCCACACCAGGTCATCGCAACACAATGCGGACCATGATTCTGGCACTGAGGCTAACTCGTCCAGGATCGCCAGCAGACAAGCAGGCGCTGATTTGAGAAGCCTGGGAAGAAATCGCAGCCGCCTGAGCCTCAATACCAGCTCGACGGGCATGATCTCACACTTGACAAAAACTCTATTGTCTGCAGCAGCCTCACCAGAACTAGAATCGTACCCAAGACCGGTCGCCAATCTAAACGGGCTCAAATAGTTGTGCGCCAGGGTCGCCATCTGTTTCACGTTTAACTTGTGCCAAGTGAGGGCATTAAACAAAAGGTGCGACGTGCACAAAGAAGTAACATAAATTAGCTTGGCCCTTAAATTGACTTGCCTCCGGGGGAAAACAGTGCGCCTCAGTACCCCTAGAGGACGTCGCTGCTGATGGCAACGGTGCGCCAGCTCGGGTCCCAGAGAAATGCGATGGTCCTGGTAACTTCCCAAGTGTTTGTAGGTTCTAGTGAGGCACAGGGAGGCGCCTAAGGAAGGGACGAGAAGACCAGTGGCAGCCAAGGCTGCATACTCCCCTCGTGCCTTCCTGGAACCTGTGCCGCTGAAGAAGGCCATGAGCTCCGTCTTGCCCGCCTTCCAGTTCATGGTGAACCCCCTAGACTTGGTTTCTTCGTACATGATCGTGACGAGGGCGATGGCCGCCTCCTTCCATAGCCTAGCGTCTAACAGCTCGAAACCGTTGACGAGGTCATCCATGAAGGCAGGATCCCATACGTCTTCCTCTACATGCTCGTGCTCGCGACCTCTGAAAATCCTCTGAGACGGGACCACATCTTTAGTCCTCTGAAGATACCCCAGGGATCCCAATCTGCTGTTGACCGCGATGATGATTGGGTCGAAGGCTATGATGAACAGGAGGTCAGCTAGTGGCACGCCCGGCCTCGTACCTAGGCGGGGGGAGACAACCCTGGTACTCCCCCGCACTTGGAACCAATTGCATTCCATCACGTCAACCACTGCTTCCAGAAGGTGCTTACTTGCCAGTCCGTCCAGGGCTCCAGGCTTGGCGACTAGGGCATGGCACAGAGGCCCCAGACAACTAGGTATCTCTAAGTCCGCCAGCGCGTTCTGGATGTCCTCGCTGTTCTGGGCCATGCTGGCAACGAACCCTCGGATGACCGAATAGAATGCCGCCTTTAGATCGGTGTACAACGACAGGTATGTGCGCTTCCTAGCCTTGGCAGCCAACATGGCCGACCGAAGATGCAAGGATGCAATGTCAGCGCCGCGTTGAGGGAGAGCTCCCTGCTGGACCCGGCAGCATGTTCAGCGTAGCCTCTAAAAGTTTACTCCTGAGGAAGGCATGGTGCAACTTCGCCGTGTGACATCCCAGTAGGATGCCCCTGTAGTGCTCCAGGGGTTCGGGGGGCCCAGATTTGCGCAGATCACATTGCCAGCCTCCTTTGAACAGCAGGGGCTCCCTGGACGCCATGTCAACTTTCACGAACAACGGCAATAGGATCTGCGTGCATTCTTGCGGAACGACCTGGAAAAGATCATTGCTGAGTCCGTCAGGCCCAGCTCCTCTCCTCTTGGCTGCCTTCATGATGTCGTGCTTGAGCCTGCGGAAGGGGGTGATCATGTCCAACTCCCTGGGATATACATTTCCACGCTCGGGGAGGGCGTTGTATCTTTCAGCCAGTTCTTCCCAGCTGAGTGCCTGCCCATTCTCAACTACAGCGAAATAATCAGTGAGGGCCTCCGAGAGATCTCCAGATGTGGCCAGAACCTCGCCCTGAGAACCTCGTCGGATTCCAAGCCCCTCGACCTGGAACTTGGAGCGCTTTCCCCCAAACCTTTGCAGCTGGTAAAGCACTCTCCACTCCACTCGACTCTCGTTTGAGGACCTAGCGTTGCACAGCTGCTGCGCGAGGTCGTCTAGCAGCTTGTTGCGCGAGAGCTTCAAGGCCCTTCTCAGGGCCGGCTTCGACTTGACCAGAAACTCAAGCATGTGTGCGGCTAACTCGCTTGCCGCCAGGATCTGTTTATCCCAATCAGCGAAAGCCTGGAAAAGCTCAGAAACCAGGAGGTCCAGCTCAAGATCGGTGATGTTCTGGGGGGGGGGCCGCCTCCAGCGCAGCGGCGACCAGCCTCCTGACACCACCAGAGTCCTGCTTACCCCAGAGACGCCACGCCTGCCGTACTTGCCTTCTGAAGATGATAATTCCTAGAAGAGCCT